CTGCTAAGATATGTACTATCATACACTCTCTATCAAGACTTTCTCTTTTCAGAGTCTTGATATTATAGAGAATATAAGTCTGTTTCTATATAATAATATAAATATTATCAGCAGGATGTAGAGAAACTGATTATTTATATCTTAACATAGAAGACTTTGTCAATAATTATATCAATATAGAGTTAATTCTTAAATTCAATAGAAATCTAGTATTGCTATTCTCAATCTCTTGCAGAATCTATTGAATATTGAGATATTAAAACTAGATTTAATATATCTCACTGTACAGAGATCAAAGACTCAGTCAGATCTTGAAGTATACTGATTTTATAGTTATTGATATGCTGTTAACTTGTTATCTACTGATTATATATTGAATGCTGTTACTGAGATATCTTTTTGTATTTTTCTGCTGAGAATGAGTCAGATTGAAAAGAACAGTACAAGGGTGAGACTTAGCATTGATGTTTTGGAACATCAAAGATGAACAGAGTTTTCACAGAGATTGCTTCTCAGATATCTTCACAATTACAGATCAGAGATCTTTCAAAATCAAGAAGATTGACGCATATGACTAGGTCTCTTCACCTTACAATTTGTATGGCAATTTGGCCCGGGGTTGTGGTGTGATAGGGGTCCATGGGGGATAATCCCACACAGGAGTTTTGAACAATGTCTGGTTCATGTTTGGGGGATAACTTCACCACCACATGGGGTATGCGGTCGGTGATGCGGTCAAAATGCTTGTATGATCGAGGGCTTTTCAATGGATCTATCGGCGAGTTCTTATTCGAAAAATCGAGCGAGTTCGTGGTGGAGCAGTTGTATGTGATCGTAAAGAGAGCCTCATGATGATTTGAGATCTTTGTCATTCTTCTTTTTCAACTTCATACTGTGGTCCACTTCTGAACCTTGTAAGAAAGGTACATTTGTAACATTATTGTCTTGTCAGAAGACATCTAGATATTCATGATATTGTTGAGAGAGTTTTGTACAAGAATCTGTTATGATAATATGAAATAACTTCTCTAGAGCTTTTTTGATATTAGTCAGACTGATGAAGTAGATTGTCACATAGTTCTGCTATCAGTAATCTTGTCAGTGATCCTGTCAGTGACTTCTTTTTTAGAGTATTTTATCAGTGTTGACAGAGATCTGTGTCAGATTCATAGTCTTGTAAATATCATCTTCATGAATTCTATCATTATTAGAAAATATTAAGCTTCTGTTTCAAGCATTTAATGAGATGTCTTATTCAGATAGTCAGACAAGTTCTAACATAAGATTATAATTAAGATTATTAACTTTATATGTATAGACTTCTTCATGTTAATATTCTCTGATATCTATATTTAGCTTCACTATGTAACAGGTGCAAACATCTTTTGAGTCATCAAATTCTGTGAGAAGTCAGGGTTTTGATAAGAGAATATACTGAAGATTATAATATCTTACAATCAAAGATTTAATCATTGTATAATGATATAGACTGCTGTCTATCATGGCTTTCATATTATATATATTATTGATCACAGTAGATACAAGAATTACATTTATTATCATTTTCTCTTCAAATTGTTATCATTCAATCTCTTCAAGCTTCTGTTTATGAATTTGAACAGAAGCTAATCTTTTCTCTGTTTTATTAAGACATCTTCATAGTTATCTTCTGAATCTTTCTTCAATGCAATGTGATTAGTGCAGACAGGCACTGATTCATTCTTTGAATGAGAAGATACTGATCTTTCTCTTGAGTGAGAAAATGTGTAGGCTGATTAGTAGTTGAAAGTGATGTGTTCTGATCAGTTACAATTGATACACATCTCTTATTGATGTCAATTGATGACTTCTTCAGAAGCAATCCTGGAGACTTGAAAGTCTGTTCAGACAGTGAAAATCCTTGTTTATATATAGATATTTGAGTTCACTCAATTCATAGCATCTTCATTGTTATTCTTCAGTGCAGATATATGAGTAACTGAGACATAACATCTTCTGCTGCTGTTCTGTATACTCTTAAGGTTGATGAGACAGTCATTCAATGTTCAGAGTTGTATACAGAAATCTTCATAAGTCTGATCTTCATCTACACTTATAAGAGTCTGTAGAAGTTCAAAAGTTAGTGTCTTCTTAAGCATGCTAATCTTCATTCTATTCTTTCAAGATTGATTATCTGCTTCTAGAATCTTGATGTTGAAATCAGGAATAAATGTTATGAGAGAAGTATTTCTCTGTTAAGCACTCTGTAACTAATCTAATGTCTTCTGTTATATAGCAGTGTCTCAGAACAGAACATTGAGATATTTAATAATATTATCAAATGTATATAACACTGATTCACATGCTTTCATTTATGAATAGAACTTCTGTCTCACACAATTCTTCAATTGATTATTGATATACTAATCTTGTGTGATTCAAAGGTTGCTTGAGCCAGCGTACGATTACAGGCGTACGCCGGCTTCTTATATACTGTATGCTAAATTAATTGATGGCCGCTATGGCCCCTTTACATTTGTAAGCAAGTTCAGAAGCAGTCATGTTATTATTCAGTGATTGTATGTTCTTCTGAATCACATTCTCTTTCATCAGATTCAGTCACGCCCATGTAATCATGATGTACACTCTAGCTTCATGTGGATTAGCATGCTACTAGTGTTCACAATTGTGTGATCTATCTCTGATTCAGCTAGTGTTCTGTATACACTCTCACAAAGAAACTTTCACTATATTACATTACTTATTCACTAACTTTTGTCATTCTTCAATTATCTTCTTCATCATTATTATCATTGAATGCCATCATCTCATTCAAGATTCCTGCTTCTTCTCTCATTTAACATCTTCTATCTGTTGTTGATCTATTACATTGTACATGTTCCTGGTGATGATCTTCTGTTCTCACAACAAGCATTCTTGTAGTGCTCATACTGAGCAGTTTATTAGCAGTAAGTATAACACATTGTGAAATGTGATCAGAACTTGTTTATCTTCTAATAATTATCAGAATGTACTATTATGAATGGCATATCTTCTTCATCTTCTTATACATCTCTGACTCTCTTTTCTTCAGTGATATCTGATCATGTTTTTCTAATCATTTTATGTGACTGCAGATGCTGATATTTTTGTTTTAATTTGTATAGAATCTTCACATGTTGACAGATCTGTGTTTACTGATGATTGTGATTTCAATATTGAATTGTTGATTAAGAACTTGAAGAATGTGATAATAAAGAAATTGCTTATACTATGTATGACTGAGTCTTCTGCATCTCTTTCTGCTCTCTCTGTTCCTTTCTCTGCTGCTTTCTCTCAATCTTCTACATCTGCCTCTGTGTCTGATTCTCCCGCTTCTGCTACCCCTGCCTCTGTGTCTGATTCTCCTGTTCTCACTACCTCTGCTTTCTCTGATTCTGCTGCCTCTGCTTTCATTATCATCTCTCCCTATTTCAAGGAGATGTTGTGTAGGCTTAATGAATTATATTTCTCAGTGTGTATGCTCCCACTCTTCTTACTGATCTCTAGAATGATTTATTGTATAAAGACTGTATATAACATAACTATCTGAAGCTCAGCTGCAGACATCAATTATTATATTCATTTTAAATATTCATGATAAAGCAATTATTCATTTATATCAGAGAATCACTTCTTCTCTTAATAGTGTTGAGATTGTAAGTCTTTTCTTTTTTCATCTTCTCTTTCTAACACTGATTTTTCTGTTCTTAGAAGAAATTATTATAAGTTTTATTATATATAAAGTTATAGTATTCACAGATATTAAGAAACTTTTTATAACTATCAAATTCAATATTATGAGTATATTCACTCTGATAAATATCTTCAGAATGATTGACTTATATCAGTCTATTCTCTGACATTTGTCATCTGACTTTGTAATGCAGATGAAGAATATTCATATTTTCAGAAATAAGAATGCAGGTGTTGTTCTCTTTTACACTCACAGATATGAGACTTGTACATCTTGTCTGAAATATTATTATGAGAATGAACTGTTCACATACTGCATTCTGCTTTCTGCATTTTCTCATGTCTCTCTCTCTCTTTCTGAGAAGTCTTGTGCATGTTGTAATTACATGTATAACTCTAAGATCAGCAGGTGTTTGTTCAGTAACTGTTTTCATCTCTGATTTTGCAGTTTTTTCATACACTAATAATGATTCTTAGTTGCTCTGATATCAGAGATCATTCTAATCAAAGATAATAATGTCACTGAGACTACTCTCTTCTACTCTCAAGCTTCTTCTGTCACTTTCTCTCTCTCTTCTGCAGAGAAGATTGTGTGTATACTGAATTATAAGTATTCAGCTCTGAGTGATTCCTGCTGTTATTTATTCAGTTCTGTGTCTTCTTCTTCTTCTGTTTCTTCTGTCTCTGTCTTCTCTGTTCTGACTTCTAGTTCTGTGAGTCTCACACTCTTCTTCAATTTTTCTACATGTACGTGTATGCATTTCTATATTGGTATTCCAGTCAATCTTGTGATAAATGACATTAATGTTGTACACAAAGTGATAGAGGAATTGAAGACATATGTGATGTTATTATGAGAGCGGCTTATAACTCTTGAATTCCTTACAGATCTCAAGTTTTGAGATTTCCTTTGTTTTTAATGTTAGAAATAGATTAAATGTGTGATGTATAAAAATGAATGAGATATGTATGATAACATTTGTCTTTTATAACTGACTCTTACAGTTGATGATTAATTCATTATCTCTTTTCTTTTCTTACACTTTTTCTTTGTCTGCTAGTCACTACTCTTACATGTCAGCGTGGCTCAGTTAGTAAGACTGGTAATCAAGGCTGCATATATTAGAGGTGCGTGGGTTCGAATCTCACTGCTAGCATCTGTCACTTCTTACCCATGAAAGCCCTCATGTAATAGAGGCTGAGCCTAATTAGTAAGGCTTGATGTGAGGTAGAACTCTCTACTGCAGGCCAAGTCACTAGTTAAGTGAGATTCTGCGAACACTCATCAGAGCTGATATAAGATATCAATGTCTCACTATTCTACTGTGCATCTGTCAAGGTTCTAACAATATAGAGTCAAGCCTAATGTAGTGATTATACACTACTTAAGCAAGTCTCTAAACTAGAGCTGTCATTGAAGCCTAGCTCCTTCTCAAATACAGAGAATGATTTTGAAAATCACTCAACTAGCAGGCCTAGACATGCATCTAGGCCCTAGACAGAGCACTCTGATAGGCTAGAGTCTGCAAGCTCACTGTCAATTCCTAATACTGACAGAGAGAACTGCAGTCATCAAGCCTATGATTAGTCTCTAACACAGGGTGAGGTTACAACAGCTGATTAGTAGGCCTATGAGCATCTAATGAGGCCGAGATCAGCAACCGGAAGCTTGGTGTATACACCATCAAGTGGGCGGTGGCAGCCACTAACTAACACCTCTGGAAATTAGTGGCTGGCCCGAGAGGACAGACACAGTGGTCGGTTAATTATAGAGGGTTAAATGTAATTAGCTTAAGATGCATCCTGCGGGTGGCTAGCGCCCGTAGTCACATTCAACAAAGAACTGTCAAGGCAGAAAGGCTATTAAACAACATAATCAGACTATCAAATACAGAGAGAGATCTATTCTTTCAGACTATGAGACAATTATATATAGCCTGTATTACATCAGTAGTTAATTATGAAGTTCAAGTTTAATAAAATAATCAAGAGAACTTCACTGAACTCTTTCAAAGTCTGTAAAACAGAGTCTTGAGAAGAATTCTAGAAGCATTCAAATTATCTTCTATTAAAGCAATGAAAATTAAAGCTTCAATTCTCTCTTCTACTATTAGATTTGAAAAGACCTGTATAAACTATGCACTGAGAGTTATAAAGA